GAAGTGTACCTCTGGTGCAAATTACTGACCTCTGTCATCATTTTAAGTGGGGGAACTTGCACAATCGGTGGCTGACTAAATACTTTTTTGCCCCACTGTAGATATTAAATTACTAGTGAATATATAAAGCTGTTTTTTTCTGGTGGTTTGACAAAATTGTCCCGAGTGTCAAACGGTTCAGCTGAGGAAATGCAGACTGCATGCTTGCATCCATGACTTCATTGTACTGACTCACATTTATTTTCACTCTGAAAGTTTTCTGCCCCCCAACCATAATTAAAATGCTTTTTTAAACTTATTTCCCTAATCCCAACATTATATTACATTTGTTAAAGAATCTGATTTTCATCCAATAAGGAAGACAGCTATGATGTGACTTTGTAAACAAAATAAAGTTCACACGTAACACACATGATGCAGACATTTACAGTTTTAACCATTTATTCCGAGAAGTTACATAGTTACAGAAAAACAATGCTTTCTTGGTTCTCTAATGGCTCCTGTCAGCTTTAGTTACAAAAACAGTATTTATGTAACAACATGTCAACGAAACATTTCTGCACTCACTGGAAATCAGCACTAGAGGAATTCAAGATCTTACAACAGCTTGTGAACGGTGTGGCTCTGTGTGGTGCTCACATTGTGGCAGAACCATTTTGCATAGTAAAGTGTTTTAAAGTGGAATCGTTACGAGTCTCGAGAGAACTAAACGAGCTAACTCGTACAGAAAGTGGCAGCAGGGCAGGTGTGTAAAGCCTTTAGGAATAACAGTTTGGTATCAACCTCGCCTTTAGTGCTTATAGAAAAATGAATGTGACCAAAACTCCTGAGCAGCTGAGAGATTCAACAACCCAAAAATTTAAAAGGAAGACCGTCTATGTTACGCTAGCCTATTAGCAAAACTCCAAACGTTTAAACTCACCACAAATTTAATAACACATTCAAGTTGTGTTAGCATTCACCACAAACGGCTCTCAGAAATGGATCCAAGGAATTAGTATGGGTGCACTTCTCAGTATGCTTCACAACGAGTTCATAAGTGTGTAGACATTACAAACATGTTTGTGAGGTCCCACAACAACACTGACTCGCACTGCTTGGCCAGGTTTCAATGTTTCTGCAGGTGAATCCGCCTTCAAACACTGTTCTTATGGAAATACTTTAAGCAATCCAATCTATGTGTTTGTGTATGTAGACTTGTAACTTTCTGTCACCATTTGTTTAATTTATTTCTTACCCACACATCTTCATGTCCATGACCATAACCAATTAAAATTTGTGTCTGTTTCACAAACTGCCATTAAAACTATTCTGAGCTGGAATTGTTGAATACAGACAACATATTTATTGCTCTGTTATACAGTATCTATGACAGAAGACCCTGCAGATGTTACAATGGGATTCATTGTCACTAAGCAAAAAAAAAAAAAAAAAAAAAAAAAATTTATATATATATATATTAATGAGATTAACGCTAAAGCACTAATATATATATATATATATATATATATATATAATATATATATAGTATATATATATATATATATAATATATATATATATTATATATATATAATATATATAAATAAAAGTGAGGTTGAATTAAAATAAGTCATTGAGTCTGAGGTAAAAATCTATCCCACTCAAAGTGCGTCTTGTATCACAGACTAAGATAAGTTTGCTACAGAGACAGTAAAGCTAAGAAAGAGGTTTCAGAGTGCAGAGAATGAGGTAGAGGTACATCACAAAACACCTCAAAATCTACTGTATTATACTACCATGTAATACAGTGATGTGAAAGCCAAAGGAGCTCCTCGGGTCTATGCTGGAGTGAAGGCTAGAAGAGCTATCTAACACTGCGCTCTCCTTCTAAAGTTGCTGTGTTGTATTTTGCTCTTTTCCTTCAAGCCTCATGGCTTTATTCATTTTCTGGAGTGACCAGTTTTCACAAATCAAGTCAAAAATCCCAAAAGTTTCCCAGGAGTTACAGGGGCTCCGATCAGCCAACCACAAGCGTCTGTCCAACCACAGCATCACTCGACACTGCAAAGAGTCTAACACACTTCAGTGGCTGGTTTGGGGAATGGTCTCCAGATGCTAATCAGAGGTCCTTCTGCCATAAACGGGTCAGTGCTGCTTAGATATGACCCGATACACATGATTCACGCTGCACCATTCAAAAGAATACAGAACCATCCTCAGAATCTTTTCAACATGGATGACTACACGTTACCACATAGATGGGCTTTTCCATCACGTGCTCTTTGGATTAATCAGGAACAAATGTCCAATAGGATAGTGTGAACTCCCTGCTGAAGGGTTGTGTGGAGCTGATACAGGCCTGTTACTTTTCCTTCAGAGCACAAAACTGATCATATGCGCACAGTGTTTCTCCAGTGCGACACTGATCACGACCCCGAAACACCTCCGACCTGTCAGGACACTGACAGGAAGAAACTCTGGGGGTGTCCTGTTGTGTCTGGCATTAGCATGTTGGGATGCCTCGAGCCCCGATGGATTTGAGAGAGGGCCTCCATGAAACCAGACATTGGGAACAGTGCTACTCACTGTGCCTCAATGTAATCAACATTAATCACTTCACCTGTCATTGGTTTAAATCAATGTCTCAGATTCAGTTTCATGATTGTACTTCAGTGTTTGGACAGAGGGGGGCACGTTCCCATATGATATTAATGCAGCCTGGAATATTGTGTCAAACCCCACTGAAAGCAGAAGACTCAGTTGCTCAGCTTACATGAGATGAAAGTGGTTCCAGTAAATTTCCTTCTTTCCTTTCAAAAGCGACCCACAAAATAGTTTTAGAAATCAAAGTGCACTTAGTGTACATCATTGTTAAGGCACAAGGTTGCACTGGGAGGTCAACCGTTTACAGCTACTGCTATCATTAGTACAATGATTGAATACTGGTACAGTAGAGTGCAATGACATACAGTAACCTGTGCCACAGTCACAGACCTTACACAATTAAGGAAGAACAGGCCTATACTGGGAAGGATGGGAACAAAAGTCCACCACTACATAACAGACGCACAGTTTCATGCCCAGGTCGCTCTCAGAGAAACTATGTGCTCCAATCGTCCCCAGTCCAAAGCACCACAGTGACTGTGTTGGAACTACGTGGAGTTGGAAGTGCGTCGTTGTGGTTTGACTTGCAGACTGGTCCGGACTGTTTTGGAGTGAGCGGTCTGTGACTCCGCACTCAAATTATGATTGAAGATTCCTCACAATTCAGCTTGTCAGGGTCAGTTTTTCCACTGGAGTCGATACCTGTGTAGGACACAGATGTAGGGACAAAGAATTAGCAGGTCAGCATAAAGGAGCAAAAGTCATTTCAGAAAGAACAAATCAATCAGTAGCAAAAGTAATAATACTGTCACCATAATGGGTCACTGGACCCAGTGGTTTTTCTGTATTACCAATGTTGTCCTGTTATAGTTCATCGTTTCTTACATTCCCCGGTGTTTAAGTCTCCCTCACCCTTCATGTATTTCATGTCTGCATCTCATTATGTTTCCCGTTTTATTTTGAAGAGGTCTGGTGTCCCATGTTCATTGTGTTTAGTTTCACATCCCCTGATCTCCTGTGTGCATTTGGTCTGCGTTTCATTCATTCGTTGTCAGGTTGTCTGTTGAGTTCTCATCATGTCCACACCTCCGTGTTTTTCCATGCTCAGGTTTTTAATCCTATTCAAGGTTTTGTTCTTTGTTGTGTTTACTTTCTCCCAGCTTAGTTCTAGTTAGTTTCGCCTCAGTGTGCATCTGCCTTTTTGTTTTGTACCTTTCCCCGCCACAAATAAACTGCTTGCCTTTTGTTAAATTATAGTTTCGTTCCAAGTGTCTGCATTTGGGTCCTCTTTCTCCCTCCACACAGTCTGGCAGTGTAAACCGTGACAATTATACTGATTAAGTCATCAGCAGAAATATACAACATAACTTTGTAATCTAAAAAGTACAGCAGAGTGAACTATCACGTGAGTTTAAGTTAAACATCTGCAAACCTTCTATTGAAATCACCAGATCTTCTTTTCCACAATGTACAATAAAGGTCACAAGATTGAAACATTAGCATGTTTATTCGCATGTTTATTCGCACAGCCAGAACGGGTTGGAAAAAATTAGAAAACACAAACTAGTTTAGTCAAGCCCGCCAGGTAAGACTCGTTTTCTTTTGAGTATAATTCCAATATAATGAATACACTAGAGGAAAATTATTTGTTACTCGTCTGAATTTGTAACTTTGCTTACTTCCAAAGAACAGTCTCTAATTTTATAGTAGTAGAGACAGAATGTCAGCCAAACCATTTGGGTTTCTTGGATTACACTCGACAACTTGAAGCATCACCTCCCTCCACAGATTTCCTGGGGGAGGGGGAGGCTAAGCCACTCGATGACATTAATTTTCTTTAACCACACCTTTGTTGCCTTGGTGGTATGTTTTATTATTATTATTATTGTAGGGTCTTTACCTTTCTATATAAAGCGCATTGAGACTACTAAGATTTTGCACTATATAAATACAACTGAACTAATTGATGAGATCAATATCTCAGACATTTCATTGACTTGAAGCTAGAATCTGATTAAAATGTTTCTGAGCAGTGTATTTCTTCAGTTCTGAATACTCTCACCAACAGATCTTGCTAATTGTCTGTAGCCCATTCCAGCATTGTGCAGGTCTCTTATCCCTAATGTTCATTCCTGATCTCAACGTATGTGTTGAGATCAGGGGTATCTGACTGACAATCTGTAATCTGTGTATTGCATGGGTACACAGCCAATCAGAACTCTGGCTACTTTATAGAGGATCAATTACTGATTTTACTCAATGACGTACAAATCAATCCGTAACTTTGAAAATAGATGTTTTCTGGATTTCTGATTGATATTCTGTCCCTCTCTATCAAAATGATACTATCAATGTAGAGACTATTCATTTCTTGACCAAACTTACAAATTCAGCAGCAGATCAACTATTTTCTCTCACTGTAATATGTGGCATGCAAAATAATTTAGATCTCTTCTGAATCAAACCCTATAACAGAGGCGTTCTGTCTGAAGAGCTCTGCAAACTACTATAATGAAAAGAAATGTGCACTGCACAGGGATGCTATGGCAAAGGCACTGAGGTCACTGGGTGCAAAAGTAGAACGGTGCACATTTGTATGTGTCTACCTGCAGTAAAAATGACAGCACTGCCGCACACAGCCATACTTCCTGCTGTTGGATGTGTCCATGTTTGGTTCAGAACTGCTCTAATAATAGCTCACCGGCTGACATGCAACAGCTCAGGCTGGCAGCGCTTTGTTCCTCTTTTCATATGTTGCATAATATCACAGCACACGCTATGGACAAAAGTGGATCAGCTTAGCAGGACGCACAGGTCTGACATGAGCAATAAATGTAGTAATACAAAGGGTATAAATGGGGGAAAATAGACAAGTAAAACACACAGTGCTAAGTTTAAGATGTAAGATGCTTAAATAATTTTACTTTGTATAGAGAAAGAAAATATTTCACAAAAACTACGGGAGTAAAAATAGCATAATGGAACATAGAACAATGTGCATCCATAATGCCCGGCACAATGTGCAACACTTTCAGTCGCCATTTATTTTTCAGATGTTAATTTGTCATATTTTAATATACTGTAAACATTTTTTGGTAGAAATATGTTTTCATATAATATTTAGCATTTTAAGTGTATTTTTTCTTCTTCACTGTCTGATTGGAGCATGAGGTGCTGCACAGAGGTTTTCCCTGTGTGTTTAATCCACACTGGAAGTCAAATGAAGGTAGCATCGCTAGTTTTAAACAGCAAATTGTGTTACCATTAGAGAAATTAAAGCTTTAAGTCTAGTTAGTCGTGTTTTCTCGTCCTGAAACTAGCAGTCGTTAAACTAAAAAGGTTAAAAATGTGAAACTGCACTTTCACTGAATTCAACATGTAATTATTCTGTTTAACGTTCTTTATAAGCAAGTGTAATAAAGAAAACAAGCCAGGTGGAAGCTCAGTATACCCTGGACAGAACTACGGCCTGCTGCCTCCTCTTGTTTTATAACTCAAAGGCAGACTGCCTCATTAAAAAGCAGCAGTGGAGACCAGTATCTTACAGGAAGTGGTAGGACTGCCAGAGGCAGCAAACACACACAGCAACTTTCTACTCTTACTCATCACTCCAAGCAGTTTAGACTACAAGCCAGATTTAACCATACATTCATACACTGCTTTATCCTGCACACCTTATCTAAATCTCATTTATGGCAAATATAGAATATTCAAATTAATGTCGTCACCTATGGGGTGTGGGAAGAAACTGCCGTATCTGGATGAAATCTTGACACAGAATGGCCAACGTTCAAACCAGGAGCTTTCTGCTGTGAGAGTTTTAACCACTTAACCATGATTTGACCACAACAAATATGTTGTTCTCTCATGAGCAGATATTTAGGATGTGAGTGATGCTAATCTGACCTTTAATGCTGCAACCCTGTTAAATGTCAGGACAAATGTTAGGAACTGTGCCACAACACAAAGAATGAGGGGACACAAACAACAGCTATGGATGAAACTGAAAAAGAAGCACATGATTTCCAGTGTGCAATCCCAACATGACAAATCGTAAATGGACTAGTATTTATAGAGTACTCCTCTACTTTAACTGATCACCCAAAGCTTTTTTTTTTGTATGAAGTATTGGGAAAAGAACACTGCAACCTTCTGATTGGCAGATGATCTACTCTACTTCCTCAGCCACCTTACAGCAGGTATTACAGTCATTGTTTGTTATTTTATTGTGAAATATGTGTAGTTCTGTTCCAACAAAGGTTCAAAACCCAAAGATATCAAACCATGTCAAACCCTCTTCCTGTTGGTCAAAATCCTCACTTTCTGCTGATCAAACTGTTTCTATTTATTATTTACAAGTCAAAATGAAGCCAGCCACAGTTGGCAACATTTAACCAAAGAGAAATAAGCAGGAGACCAAAGCATGACAGCGCCACCACAGAGTTGTGAGTCTGTGGTTGATGGCATGCAGACTGTCAGCAGATTAACATCATGTAAAGAGCTTACACACCATTAGATCCAACACAGCTGCTGTGAATGGAGACAGCAGAGTGGAAGAGATGTGGCTCTATGTTATTCACTGTGAGAAAAGGTGGTTTGCTGGGCTGTACAGGAAGGTTGCCTATCGTAAATTATAGACATCAAGCCTAGAAGCAGGGGTCGGCTTGAGCTTTTAGTCTTTTTGCTTCTGAATACACCACAGAACACTGAGGTGCTTCGTTGTGATCACTTGTGTAAGAACTGGTTTTTGCAGTTCTTCCTCAGAGCCCCGAGGACCCAAAGGAAATATTTACAAGCGCTGCAGCCACTCAGCTAGCCTGTTTTTACAACAATGTTACATAAGAACAAACCAGTGTGCTCATCACGCTTTCTCCCAAACTCTCGTAAAGACTGCTTCGCAGCATTTCTCAGCCGCCCTGTAATAGCCCACGCTTTCTGAGCCCGTACATAACATGGCATACTGTGCCTTCAGGCTGCTGTCCACAATCAGCGTCCTCTCTGTTTTAGAGTACTAAAAGCCATATGAAGAGTGAAAGCATCAAACGCATTGTCTTTATAGCACATAAGCATTCTTGTGTCCGTGGCAAGGACAACATGCTGAAAAAGCTCATATGAAAACAAAAGAATTCCTGAAAGTAAGGACCGTACGTGTGTGCAGTACAGAAGCTTACACTGCTCTGGACTGGACTGGATAGCAGTGACACACGGCTGCACACAAGAAGACAAAATGTTCCTGACCAAAGCTCCCATAAGCCATCAACCAAAAGCAGCACTCTCATCTCATTGTCCAGCAGAGGAGCGGGTGGGGGTGGATTAGGGGATGTCACGCACAACGCACATGGACATCAATGCTGACTCATGTCACTAAATATTCCACCCCGGCCATCCGATGCCACCTTTCAAACTATGTCCTTTATGAAGACAACACAAAAACACATGTTGTATCCATGTTGTATGTTACTGACCACAGCGCAAATGACACATGGGTGGAAACATTCTTACACACCCGCCTTGTGCATGTTAGTAAATCAGAATCATTCTCTGCATACGCCACATTTCTCTATACAAGGAAACATGCATGCAAAGCGCCTCATATATACAAGCATGTTTTCTCTATACCTAATGTTCACTTGGGGTTCATACCCACAGATGTTTGGCATGCAGGCACTGAACCACCAGCCTTCCACTTAGCAGGCGAGCTG